GGAAACACATCTGGAAATTCTCTAACAATAGGGATATCATTCAATTCAACATTCACAAACTGTTCAGACAACACATAGCACAAATAACCCTGACACCCTTTCCTAATCAGTTTACATGCTTTCATTGCAGATATCAAATAAGGTGGAGGCACTACCCCATTACCCACAAACACAATCTCTTTCTGTTCTAGTGGTTTAAACACAACCCGTTTTGTCACACAATCAATGGTGGCACAATACTTGGTCAACCAATCCATGCCCAAAATTACATCAAAATGTCTAAAATTCAAGGGCAACAAATCCACATATAGGATAGCATCCTCAACACACATATCACAAAACCGGTATATAGATTCACACAATACGGATTCCTAGATGGAGCAGACACACATAGCAGATATGGCAATAATTCTAAGGGTCTATTCAGTCTAGATGCAAATGCATGTGTCACAAAAGAGTGTGTGGATCCGGAGTCAATTAACACAAAAGCATCCTGATTACATATAGAAATAGTACCTGAGACAACTGCGTTGGCATTTCGTGTATCGCCCGGAACAAGCGCAAAAACTCTCCCCTGTCTCACGATATCCCCGGTGGTAGCAGGTCTCAAAGTATTTCCCGGCTTCGGGATCGATGCAATTGAGCTAGCAGCTAGTTTCCCACTGTTCTGATTACAATCTCGGACCATATGCCCTTGTTTCCCACACTTGAAACAGGCTCCTGACACACGGTAACAGACTCCACGGTGCCTTCTGTTACAAATATTGCACATGGGAGCTGTGTCTCGGGAAGAATTTGAAGTATTTGAGGAGCCCGTATTTTGCTTCTTCGAAAATTTCTCCTTTGAAAAGAAGCCTTGTCTTTTATTGCCTTTCCATTCTATCGTTGGCTTAGCCTGTCTAGCTATGTTAGCCTCTGATATGATAGCCCTGTCTAGCACCCTAATGTAGGTTTCCAGCTTCAAGACATTCACCCTCTCCAAAATGTCACTTCGAAGCCCACCTTCAAAATGCCTCGCTTTCTTGTAGTCGGTATCAATCACATGAGGTGCAAACCTGGCCAATTCAGTAAATCTGGCCTCATACTCGGCTACAGTCATAGTGTATTGCCTCAGTTCCATGAACTTTGCTACTTTCCTATCCCGAACACATTGTGGGAAGTAATTGTCGTAGAAAATTTTCAAAAATTTCACCAAGTCAACATCCTTGTGATTTTCCCCCATTAACATCCACCATCCTCTTGCCTCGTCTTCTAGCATAAAAGTGGCTAGAAGCACTTTCTGGGTCTCCGAGCAAGGGAACACTTCAAACAATTTCTCAATGCCGAGAACCAATGCCTCGGCTTTCAACGGATCTAATCCACCATGGAACTGTGGTGGTTTCATCTTCTTGAATTCTTTGGTGAGAGCTATTATCTAATCATCATCCTGATTATCTGGCACGGGTGGTGCCAGAGGTGGAGGTGGCGAGTGTGGTTGCTACCACTGTTGTTGCCACTCCTGTTGCTGTCTCAAAGCTTCTACCATTTCCTGTATCAGTCTTTCTATTCTGTCTATTCTGGCAGTAGAGGATCCCTCTATCTAATCACCTCTTGTTCTCACCATCTGATTAAATTTGCATTATACTTTACACAAAGAGGCACAAGTATGCATATACTAGAAAGCATACATATTCAAACAATTTCAATGCAAGCAATTCTTAACTTATAGCACATAATCATTCATATCAAAACAGTTAAGCATATTCTCGATGCTTCCGAATTCATATTTATCACATGAATGCATCCTAGATCTTTTCTAGACGCTTATTGCTCTTTTGGACAAGTGTGTGAGTTATTAACTCGTACTCTGATACCACTCTGTCATGACCCGAACCCGCCCCCGTGGGTTAAGGACATAACCGGCCAGTAATCATGCGATTACCTACGGCCTCAAACCAAAATAAATGTATTTTAACAGAGTTAATTGGGGCCAAACGGAAGCAGTTCAAAACTTTGTCCATAGAGCTGTGCTTACATGGCACATCCAGACAACCAAACATATATACATTACTAACTCACAACAAAAATACAGTAGCATAAGTTCTATACAAACAGGATCATCCAAAAGCTAAGTCAACCCATGAAAACTATATACAGACATATGCAAAGTCCTCGCCAACATGACAAAAATAATATAGCATAGCAGAAAGGTGAAGACGAGTCTCGTGCATGAGACACTAGGGCTGACTCTCCAAAACTCGGTTGTTCCACACAGACTTCATTGGGGTTGGGTCTGGACCTCTTTTGGCTCACCTACAACACATGAATGAGCGTGAGCGATAGCCCAGTGAATAATATCAAATAAGAAGATACAAACGATATGCAGAACAACATACTCCGAACGGCCTTGGGCCCAATTCACATTTACATTTAACATTTATATACACAATTTAAGTTAAGTGACTGTGGTTTCAAACATCCTGGCCTTTGGCCCATTTATCTTTCATTCCTGTCAAAACGGCCTCTGGCCCACTCATTCATGTCAAAATGGCCCCTGGCCCATCCATTCATGTCAAAACGGCCTTCAGCCCATCCATTCATGTCAAATCGGCCTCTAGCCCATTCATTCTTTCTTGTCAAAACAGCCTCTGGCCTATTCATTCTTTCTTGTCAAAACGACCTCTGGCCCATTCATTCATGTCAGACATTTGTCCACAATTCAACTAGCAAATCATGAGGCAAAAGGCTTAAAAGAAAATAAGCAATTGGACAAATGACAAGCTTCTAAATATCGATATTATTCACAGTGATCGGTTGGTTGATTCGCCCTGGAGTTTGACCATACACAGTCCATGAACACAAAAGGGTCACCAACAATTTAATCCGTTCTTAAATTCATATTTTCCTCTTTAGGCTTTATTCTTATCTCTTTAACTCAATTACAATACTCAATGCATGCCTAAGAGTACTTAGAAGTGAATGAGGACGGAGAACGAAACTCAGAATGCATAAACAAAATTTTAGAAAACAGGGTCCCCGCTCGAGCGTGGACTTCCCCGCTCGAGCGGACCCATAAGGCCTGCAAAAGTACTGGTTCTGTCATTTTTACGCTCGAGCGTGCATTCTGGCGCTCGAGCGGAAGTCCATCCTACATAGCTCTCCGCTCGAGCGTGGACTTTCCCGATCGAGCAGACATCATGGTCTGCAGAAAATACTGGGAGCACGAAATTCACGCTCGAGCGGCGGTTTCCCCGCTCGAGCGGACATCAAATTTCTGGGTTTTCCAGAATGGCTTCTTGAGTTCAATTTTGACATTTCAACCATATTTCTTGCATATTATGGCTCCAATTTCACACATACATATACCCACATGATACCAATGCCAAATCATAACACAATGAAGCTCCATTTCTTGAATTACTAACATGCATGCCTCAATTTAACCCAAACTCATCACCAATACATCAAATTCAAACATGCAAAGCTCATACCTCCATGATCTACTCTTGCATGTGAGAAATATTCATTCATATCAACTTAATTGGTGAAGAGATGATCAAATACATGGATTTCAACATGGATTATACACATTGTGTTCAAATATGGAAATTCATAGCAATTTCCTACATGCATGCATCTATTGACTTCAAATACAACCAAAACCAACCAATTTCATCATGATCAATTCATTTCATGTTCATTAACATCATACAACTTTGAATTCACAAAGTTACAACTAATATTCATAAATTCACTCACCTAGGAGCTTCAAACACCCAAGTTCTAGCCAATTCTTGAGTTCAATCTTCAAATTCCCAAGCTTGAGCCAAAAATTCACAAGTCTCTCCCTTTCTCTCTCTATAGTCGACTCTTTCTCTCTCTCAATGCGCCAAAATCAGATTTTGAGCTCAAGTGTAGGAATAAGTGCATAGTGCCTTTCTACATAAGTTCCCACTAGTCACAATTTAATAATAATAAATAATTGGGCACTAATTTACCAATTTAATCAACTTAATCTGGTCCGAATCAATTTCCAAATAAATTTCACCGTAGGCTCTAAAATCACGCTAATCACAATGGCGTAATCAATTTCGGGTTCTGTGGCCGATAAGGCCTTCAATTTAATTCCCAAAGCAGATAATCAAACAGATATTCCTACAGTGAACAGATAAAAATTTAAAACCACATATTTTCACATAATGGCACACGAAATCATATTAAACACATAATCATACTCATATTAAGGACCAATTAACATATCACAGAACAGGGGTATCACATTTTCACTCCAGCAGATTTTTCTCTGCTTGTTTCGCTTTACAAGGCAAGCTAGGACAAGAGTAGAGTTGAGACAAAAGGAAGGTGTATGCATAACCTACTTGTTTGCTTCACCAAATTCTTTAATCTCATCATTGCTTTAATTAATCAATCTTAGTTATAATTTTTCAAGGTTAAACTTAATCGTGCTTAACTTAATTGATCTTCATTAAGGCTCACTAATCTTACTTAATTAACACTAATCCTAATTAGCAAAATAACATGACAAGCACATTAGCTTTAAGGCCTTTAAGCTCCTCAATTAGTGCATAGGCACATGCTAGCATTCACAAATTTTAAACTTAAGGTGTTCCCTAACTCTTAGTACACTACAGGAAATACAGTTTTCAATGGCGTTTTTAAAACGCCGCTAAAACTTTTGATGGCATTTTTATTATATGTCGAAGATACGGCCGCCGTTATATGTTTGCGACGTTTAAAAAATGCCATTGTAGACCTTATTGCGACGTTTTAAAAACGTCATGCTACAATCACCAGCGGTGATTCCTTCCAGCGAGATGACGTCATACATATCCTAAAAAACGCCGCTAAAATCATTTTTCTTCTTTTTTTGGTTTGATTTTTTTGTTTTGTTTTGCTAGAATGCAACCTAAAGAAATTTTAACCATTCAGCAATAATATTTTATTTGCTACTAGTTAGAATTCTCCAAAATATATTCAAACCCTGTTTCAAAAAATATATATTCAACCAAACACATCAAAATTGAAATTACAAAAATCACAACCAAATTCATATACTCTATCATCATCTCAAATTTAAAATACTAAGAAAAGAATAAATGTAACAAAAAAAAAAAAGGTACAAATATGATTGATACACAACACTTCGAAGCATCAATTTCGAACTTCTTTAACTTTGGAAAAAAGTTTCCCAATTTTTCCCGAGTTCATATAAGTTACATTCCTGCCAAAAAAAAGGAAGAAAACATTTCACACAACTGAAATGTAGAAAATATTAGAGATTAATCACAATCAAATCACCTTGTCTAACCAAACTGCAACATATGATTTTAATCATAAGTTACCTGCAGAAATTTCCCAAGAAATACAAAACACAATACTTTAAAAGAAATTACACAAATAAATTAAAAACTCCTCTCTATTTTTGCGTCATGAGTTCTATATATTTTTCTGCACGTTTACCCTATGTAGCTAAACCCTATATAAATTTCAGAACTTGATTATATATGTAGATGCCAAGATACAGATTTCAACTAATCAAGTTCATAAAAGCCATTTAGAGCAATCCACAGCCATAACCCGATGTAGAACAAAACCCTATATGGAAGAAGATCTCCTTTACAAATCAAGTGCGCAAAAATAAGATTACCAAAATGAAAATCAAATAAGAAGTACTCGAGATTAAAGGAGACATATCAAAGGGCTAAAATTCTAGTCTTCATTTGACCAGACTGAATGTGTACAAATACATAACTATTTCTAAACTATTTAGGCAGGGCTTTAGATCAACATATAAATAAATAAAAAATAAATGAAGGCGGCAGTTATATTACACAAATACATACATACATACATACATATATATATGTGTGTGTGTGTGTGCGCGCGCGCGCGTGCGCGTGCGTGTGAGCGGGCGTGAAATTTCTAGCAACATAATAGCACCAACAATCTCATTAGTTTATGATGCAAATAGCAAAATATTCATGGATTCCTCTCTAATTGGTCTCAAGTATCTCTTCAAAAAGAAAAGACAAGTACAGACAAATAGCCAACCATTGCTTTAGCAATTAATGGGCCTATTGAGTACATTTAAACAAAAACATGAAGATGGAAAGACATTCCAAAATAGGGGACCAATGTCCTGTGTTCAGCTGAAAATCATCTAATGCATCTGCATGGGGGTTCAGTTTTTATGTCGTTGGGTCATGTTTTGGGAATTTTGACAAGAAAACTGACTCGAAAGGGTTTAATTTGGTTGATCCACCTGAGTTGAACACTGTTGGGGTCCCTAAGAATGGATGGGCTGTTAACCACAAAAGAGGATGACATTCCAAATACCTAGTGAAGAGCTGTTAACCACAACTTTTTAGTATAGAAATGGCAGCATGGAAAGGACTTCTAACTCCAGCTAAAGAATAATTATCATGGTTAAAATGTTTAGCAATAATTCACAATTGATTATATCCTCCTTTTGAACAGAGATTTACCTCTAGTTGAAATACAAGAAAAAGAAATGAATACTTACATTAGCAAGCAAAAGTATAGTTATTAGAATATTTTCAGAAGTTAAAAACGAAAAGAAAAGTTGGTCCTCTAAGTTTGACCATCTCCCAAGAGTCAAGTGAAAGTCCAGCAGGAGATGTACATGACAGCATGGGGTCCCTTTAAATGTAAAGTTTCCTCTTAGAAAGTATGCACCTCACAACTACCAAACAGCATTGAAATGAGTTTTTGAGAGGCATATTAGAAATCAATGAAGCAAGATAACAGAATACAGCTCACATATGTTAAGGAAGAACATAAATATTAAAATGTCCACACAACATGAATCACTTTAGACACTGTAAATTATACAAAAACCTACTACACAATCAATAAATATATAGATTGCTGGCAGCAGAAGAAAACTGCTTACTTGCGTACGTAAAATATGCTTGTCCACCTCAATTTGTTTCTCACACATTCCTTTCACCCTGCCTCCGGCTTGACGCTCAAGGTGACTCCACATTTTTGTAAGTTGAGGTAACTGATGTTCCATTTGTGCTAATGCAACCTAAGAAAACTTCAGTCTTGTCAGTGTAAATGGACAACATAAATTCAGAAAACTATCTCACAGAAAAATGATAAATTTACCTGTAAAGCTGCTTCATGTGTTGCTGCCCTCTGGTTGAATATATTCAGGATGAGAGCAGTGCGGTCACGAACTCTAACATCTCCTCCAAAAGCCTTTTCTAAATTACGTAATTGCCTGCAAATTAGCATTATAAACATCCCTTTGTAGCTGATAAAATCAAGACATGAACAAAAACTGAGAACATTCATAAGATGCAAAAGGTAGCACAAACTGAGAAAACAAGAGAAACTTGTATATGGTGTGTGGGTTGTGTCCAACAAATATGATGATAAAAAAATCAGTAAGGATGACAGATTCTATTCCAACTACAGAAGCCAGAAACATAAGAAAAAAAAAGGAGCATAAGACAGGCCATGGCAACAAGAAAATAACTAATCGCCTGTAATTTAATAGAGAGTGCCACTAGATAGGACCATAGGAAGAAAATTAACAATCACCAAGTAACTGGGGGCATAAGGTCTTATTGAGTGGAAACAAGCATAACCTTCCACCATAAAAGGCTCTCTAGGCCAGAAGTACTCAAATGCCATCACGACAGCCCTTCCCCTCTTTGGAAAAAGAGAGGGCGAAAAGGGGGGGAAAATAAATAAATAAAAAGCTGTAGGAACCTACTAACCAACTTATTATTGACACAGGAAGGAATCAATATGTATCAAGCTCATACTTCACCATATTTAATTTCACTTGCAAAAATGCTACAAATGCATTTCCTGAATAGATTGGCCAATGGATGTCCTAAAATTGAATATGCATTGGCAATTAAGCATGTTATGATAAAAAATTATTCAGTTCCCCGTATTGCTTCTCTTTAAACATCAATAATTACTACTTGTGCATTCAAACAAATGTCGTATGAAAATTTCAAATCCATATGTTGACAAGGGAATCAAATTAAAATATATGAAATTTTGAATCAAACACTGACAATAAAAGGCATTAGCATACCAGATGATTGCGACACTGGGACCACATAAGCTCCAAATGCTCTATCACCTTTCATGGGGATATCAGACTTTTTAAACTTGACAGCAAATTGAGGCTTGGCTTTCGGGCCACCACTATTACTCAATCAGATAAATCTCAAGAGTGTTTCTTCAAGAACTCCGAGTGATCCCACATTTAGCTCAATCATATCAAATCCCAATTGTTTACACTCCTAAAACAACAAAAATAAGAGAGACTATTATTGCGAAGAATTGCAAAACTTGTTTTCTCTTCTTGTTGATAAATGAAAAGTGCTTTAATACACTTTTGCAGAGAAAAATAACAAATTTTTCTTTCACACCTCTATGTATTCTTTGAAAGCAGATGGACCTTTATGAAGCAAATGTTCAGCCCAGTCGCCAATACTGACATATACATTGTGTTTTTACAAATGGAATCAAATTCCCAGTTCTGTTATTTTTTTTTTTTAGAATTACAAATCATCTCCATGTTTTTACAATCACCTCTCACTTCTTCCAAATATTCACAACTCACAGGAAAGGAAAAGAAAAGACAAGAAAAAAAACCTAGTGGGAGGTACTGCCCAAATGATTCCCTGTTGCACACCTTTGTAGAATCACATCCTTCACCAGGTTGTTGTAGCAAAATATTCCACAACATCATCCCAAAAAACATCAATTAGAACACATCAATTGTTTTGTTAATAAAACAATTAAAAACTACAATTATTTACTAATTTCCAACACCAAATCACATCATGTCTTAATAGATTTAGAAAAGTGAGAAATTAAAAACTAGTGAACAAATTCATTATTATAAACAATAAGGAGTCAAAATCCAGGTGCAGAATTATTTTTAATGTATTCCAAGTTTTGTTCTGCTCCAAGAAAGCATGGTGGACTATCAAAATTGCAATAAAAAACATGTCCTTATGTAATAACCTTTCCCACCAATATTTCATTTGCATGGTCAACACCGTAAATATCGGAGGTATCAAAGAATGTGATCCCTCTACTATATGCGTACTTTATTATTGCAGTGTCATCCTCTTCAGAGACAGGAGAATTGTAGATTCCAGAAAGCCCCATGCAGCCATATCCTAGTTTTGATACCTGCAAGAAGAAAGGTTCAATGAAATGGATTGAGTAATAAACACATTCACAACTCCCATTACACGAACCTATCCCTGATCACTAGGTAAAGGGTGTGTGACTGGTTTTTCCCCCCTTCCCTAGTAAAAGAAACTAGGGAAGGGACCTTCTAAATACATGGCCAAATTTACTCTGTAAACCCACATTTTCTATAAGATACAAGAGTCATTCCACAAGGTATAAGAATTATAATGCATATACTGAGTGCATAAAAAATTTAACATGAAACTATAATAGTTCTTTAAAGTATCTGAAAACAAAAAATGAAAAATAAATAAAAGAAAAACCAAAACCTTTTATGTTGATGGCAATGTTTTTTTAGTTATAAGATTTTTGAAGGTACAAATTATCAATATTTCAAAGGTGCAAACAAACTTAATTGGTAAAGCCTCAGCCCTCTTCCTTTCTTATTGACAACCCAAGCACTCTCTACAGGTCCGTCCACCTCTGCATAAGCCTCCCTTGGTATCTAGCACCTCCACTGCCGCCCTCTCCCACCATTCTTAGCCCCTCCACCATCACCACACTCCCCACAACCCCCATGTCGCTCTCCTGCTACTCCCAGCCCCTCCCAACCCCACTCAACAAGCCCCTCCCTCCACATCCTAGCTACCACTGCAACAACCCAACTCCACCCCTCTCCGTTACAACCCGACAGCCCCTACTCCTGCTGCTTCCAAATGTGCTTGGTACAAGTGGCACCTAGTGAACAAATGCACAAGTAATCAATAACAAGACCACCCATGTGTAGCAGCTTGAAAAAGAAGAAAACTCAGAGCACATACCAAGATGTAAGTTTATCAATTTACATGGGAACTACACCAAAATGATTATTAGAAGAGTTAGAAAGCAAGAAATGCCAAAATGAGATTCCAAAAAAAGGCAAAATAATGGACTAGAGAGAGACAAAGCAGATCTGATATTACCATGTTAGCAGATCAGAGAGAGAGAGAGAGAGAGAACAGATCTGATCGAAGAGAGCAGATCTGCATCTCTTCATCGTTGAGCTTCTACTCACTGTTTCCAACGATCAACATCCAACGCCACCTGCTTGTCCCACATGATCAAAGACACTAACACCGCACTCGAAACCCTAGATAAATCAATTCACCATTGCTGCTGCTCAATCTGATGAAAGAGAAAGAGTAAAGGAACAAAATCGAAAGGAGAAAACATAAAACAAAAGCAAAAAAAGCTGGAAATCAACTGAATCGAGAGAAAACAATTCCAAATCGTTAGTTTTAGCCATGAAATTTTATAGATCTTGTGTGAATGTAGCAAATCTATATCAAAAAACCCTAACCTTGAGCCCTAGATCGATTTAGATCATAGGGATAAAAACAATCTGGAAGATATACGCTCTAGAAAACCTAACCTTGAGCCCTAGATCGATTTAGATCATAGGGATTCAAACAATCTGGAAGATATACGCACTAGAAAACCCTAACCTTGAGCCCTAGATCGATTTAGATCATAGGGATTCGGACAATCAGGAAGATATACACTCAAATCACAAGTAGAACAAGATTTTTCAGATCAAACAACTGAAGAA